GGCTGAGCAGAGCCCCACCCGGATTTTGACCTCAGCCAAAATCAAAGAGTCAGATGCTTAACCAACTAAGTCACCCAAGCACTCCTAAAACTGCATTCGAAAACATAAATACTTTTAAAATAGCTTTCTAATTACTCCCAACTTGAAAAATTAAGTACTATTTTAAATATATAGTATATTTCTTAATGATTAAGACCTGAAATCAAGACCTAAACCAAGATCAAGAGTCAGAAACTCAACCTATTGGGCTTCCCAAGCACTCCTACATATAACACTTTAAAGGACATGTCTCCAAGGAAACGGGATTGGAACTCAACCCAAACCTAAATTAGCACCCAGTTTTATAGGCAAAGTTTCCACATAGGAGGCTTCAGCCTCTTTCTTGTATGGAGATCAAGGGAACCTCAAAAGGTGGCTCTGGATCTAAATGTCTTACAGAGCAGAGCCAGCTCACCAGCTCAGTGAAAACTGCTCTGCTGCCATACCCAATCTGGCACTGATCCCTGCAAGTGGAAGAGCAGGAGTCCTTCTTGGTGCTGGGCTCGGCAACCTCAAGGAGGGTATTAAGCCCCTCTGGGGCTCAGTTTCTTCCTCTATAAGATGGGGTGATGCATGCTGTCAGAAGCTTTGTACCGGAGTCCATTTATGTAATGTGCTTGGTACAACATAGGTTCCCTGTGAATGGTGGTTACTACTTAGTTGCTACTGCTTGCTTCCTCAACTAAAGGCACTGGGTGCTAGGATGCAAATTCCCAATGTGCAGCCTTTTTTTTTTTTTAAAGATTTTATTTATTTATTCATGAGAGACACAGAGAGAGAGGCAGAGACACAGGCAGAGGGAGAAGCAGGCTCCACGTAGGGAGCCTGATGTGGGACTTGATCCCGGGACTCCAGGATCATGCCCTGATCCGAAGGCAGACGCTCAACCACTGAGCCACCCAGGCATCCCTCCCAATGTGGAGTCTTAAGCAGACACCCACAGTCTCCCTCCCATCTCTGCACAAAAAGAGTAAGTCTCTCCCCTAGAGATCTGTAAATACCCTGACAAGATCCAGGGTAAAATCCTTCTGAGGTGAGAGGGGGAGGTGATGGGGGTACAGTTGTGGGGCATTCAGCTTGTCACTTGGCCAAGATCTGCAGCTAAGCTAAATTACAATGTTTCTAATGATTGCTTGTAGAAATCAAGAATAAGACGATAAACACTGGTGATGAAGGGCAAAGTCATTGCATGAATGTTTTCCTTTAGCTGTTCTCACACTTCTGTTCTCTGATCTAGACGGACTCTCCACCGTCTAAATTCATAGGGACCCTAACTCAGTACACAGTGGCTTAAGTGGAAAATGGCTAAAACTGCCTTTTAAAAAATTGCTACAGGTGTTCTGGAAAGGTTGACCTTACCGAACTACTACTTTTAAAGGCAAATTTTGGAACTCCATCCTCCACTACATTTTATAATTCTCTTTTCTCGGGGCGCCTGGGTGGCTCAGTCGGTTAAGCATCTGCCTTAGGCTCAGCTAATGATCCTAGAGTCCTGGGGATCAAGCCCAAGCCCTCCAGTGCTCTGCTCAGCAGGAAGCGTACTTCTCCCTCTCCCGGTCCCTACCACTCCCCCTGCTTGTGCTCATGCAATCTCTCTCTGTCAAATAAATAAATAAACCTCTTATCCTGTTAGAAAAAAAAAAAAAAAACTAAAATAATTTGAACTCTATTTCATAAAAAATAGCTGTTGATTAAATCTGAAAGTTGGTTCAATTTGCCTTTCATTCATTGATCGATTCATGCACTGCTGATAAAGTGGAAGAACTACCTTTATTTTTCAGTAATTTCACACCCAATGTGGGGCTTGAATTTATAACCCAGAGATTAAGAGTCACATGCTCTACAGACTGAGCCAGCCAGGTGCCTGAAAGAACTACCTTTAATTTCTCGTATATCCTATCAAGGAAATAAGCCTCATATCTGAAAAACTGGCAAAGTCAGGCTACTGAATGCCTGGATGTCATAGGGTCATGCTCACCCTCAAATCTTCTGAGCAACGAAGCTATGTCCAAGAAGTGAAAAGCTACACAGAAGATATTTGTCCCCAGCTTTCCAAAAGATAAAGCTAAACGTTGACAAACATACACTGTCCTTGGAAAATCTGGCTGAGTCGAGCTCTTAGAAAAGAAAGCCATTATTATACTGGTTCAATGTCTTACTAAACTCTTCCAAAAGGGGTGCAGAGGTAAAAAAATTGGGGCAATGACTCTCAGTCACAAGATATTTTCCAAGATATGTGATAGTGCCTAGCTAGTAAGGATATAATGGACATAAAACAGAAATATAGATGGGATGATAGATATGCTCACCTATAGAATCCCAAGAGTGTTAATGAAAAGATTTATGAGGGTCTGAGAAGAGGGTATCTTTCTCAAAGCAGGCCACACAGACTGGGTCCAGTCCCTTTTCATGTATTTATTAATGTCTATATAGACAGTTGCCTTAGAAATATTCAAATAATGCTAAGCTGGGAGAGACGCCTAACATGAAGATTAAGAAAAAACTCCACAAAATGGTAATTTAGTCAGGATAATTGTAAACCTGCGCCTATGTTGAAGGAATGACAGTGTAACCCTGTCAAGTGGCAGATAGGGGGAATCCCTGGGTGGCTCAGCGGTTTAGTGCCTACCTTCCGACCAGGGCGTGATCCTGGAGTCCTGGGATCGAGTCCCACATCGGGCTCCCTGCATGGAGCCTGCTTCTCCTTCTGCCTGTGTCTCTGCCTCTCTTCTTGGTGTCTCTCATGAATAAATAAGATGTTAAAAAAAAAAAAAGTGGCAGATAGGTAACCTCATTATACGATCAACATAAAATGTTAAAGATGACTTTGGCTGTCATTTATGGAGATCATGAAATCTTTCTGCTTTAGTGAGCTCTGAATTTCAGCCCTAGTTAATAGCTGAGATTTCAGTTAATACTATGGGATATGTGGGCTGTTCGGAGACCAAAGAACTCTCAAAAATACTTGGGGCACTTATGTGGTCCTTTATCTTTTCATTTCTCATATCTCACCAGTTTCTAAATTAAACTTTTTATCCAAAGGTAATTATAGATTCACATGTGGTTGTAAGAAAAACACTCTAGGGACATCCTCTGCACCCTGCATCCCACAATCAGAAACGTCAATAGTGACACAATCTACCAAGCTTACTGATTTCCTCATCTTACACCCACTCCTGTATTTAGTTCTGTGCAATTTAATCAATTTGTGCAATTTAATCAGATCTGTGTGACCACTATGGTCAAGGTAGATTCTAACAGGCACACTCCTTAAGCCTCCACTTAGAAAGAAAAAAATCATTCCTCCAACTGGAGACACTCTGGACACTGTAGCTTGTTAGCTACTTATGGGGGCAGTTTCATCCCCAGAGGCACGCCAAGCGCCCAGTGAAGTTTGCACTCTTACTTCAATTGGCTGGATGCGACACAAAGCGAACAGCCACACAAAGCAGACCATAGAATGGAAATCCCTCACGTGACCACTGAAAAAGCAGAGACAAGAGCTGAGATTCCTTGTCCCTGCTGGAACCCCTCCCTCTTTCCATCCAGTGGTCTCCAGGCCGGTTCTTGCTACCTATCCCATCCTCACCTGTTCAAAGAATCTGCACGGAGCTGCTCTGAAGAAACAGGGAACCACCAGCGGTCAGCTACGTGACTACAAACGAGATGAAAAGATTCTTTTTTTGGCAAAGCACGCAAATATCTAGTGCAGATATATATTTACACCGAGCTTTTATGTAAATTACAAAGGGAGCAGAAATAGGTGGCACACCCTTTCAGTGATTTCGGACCACCTCGTCTCCTTTGTTGGCAACCCCGACGTGGGACATTAAGACCTCGTGGCACTGCTCTACCCAAGGGAGAACAGGATCTGAAGGCAAAGACTTCCTGGACTGCACCCTAGGAAGAGCTAGAAAGAGCTAGGACGAGACAGGAACAGGACTGCCTGTGCGGCCGGGCGCCGCGGCGGGGACCGCGCGGGAGCAGGTCCGGCGCCCTCTCCTCGGCCCCGACTTCAAGGGCGCGCCCGGAGCGCGGCGGGGCGGCGGGGGCTCCCCAGGAGGGCCGGGGCAGTGTGCGTGCGTGGACGGGCCCCGGCTCCAAGCCCGGGCCTGCGGGCAAAGCGCGTCCGTGCGGGGACCGGCTGGCCGCCCGCCGCGCCCCCCGTCTCCCCGCCTCACCTGGGCGGCCGCCGCCAGCCCGCGGTCCGCGCGAACAAAGGCGGGGGCGCCGGGCCGGCCGCGCGCTCCAAGATGGAGGGCGCCGGGGACTCGGACCGCCGCCCGCCAGCCCCGCCCCGGCCCGCCCCGCGCGGGCGCTTCCGCCGCCTCACCTGCCGCCGCTCGGCCTCCGGGGCAGACGGCTGGCGCGCCCCGAGCCTACGAGGGCCGCCCGGCGCTCGCCCCCGAGCAAGAGCCCGACTTCGCGTCGGGGCCCCCCGCGGCCCCCGGCCCCGCGGTGCAGCGCGAGGTCCCGGGCGCGCGCTCCGCCCCCTCCCACCCTCCGGGCAACAGCGCGGAGCGGGGCGCGCTCCTGCACCGGCCGGCGGCACAGGCTCCGCGCCCGCCGGCCCGCGCCCCCTCCCACCCTCCCGGTCACTAGCCGGGGAGCCCCGAGCGCGCACGCCTCGCACCCCGGCCGGGTGCGTGCCGGCCCTCGGCCCCTCCCACGCTCCGCGCGCGCGCCCCGGCCCCGAGCGCCGGCCGGGCCTCTGCCTCCCCCGCGGCGGCGCGGGTCCCGGAGCGCGCGCCTCCGCCCGCCCCTCCCGCCCGCGGGCAGCCCCCGCAGCCCAGCGCGCGCCCCGCCCCCTGCCCGCCGAGCGGCCCGGGCCCCGGAGCGCGCCGGCCCCGCCCCCCGCGCGGCCCGCCCTCCCCCGCGCGCCGCGCCGCCCGCGCCCGGCTCCCTCCCCGGCGGCGGCCGGCACTTTCCTCCCAAGTTGCCGCGCAAGTTCGCCAGTGGCCGGCGGCGGCGGCGGCGGCAGAAGCGCCCGACCCCCCGCCCCCCTCGCCCTCGGCCGGCCGGGGCTCCCCCGAGTGCATGGGCGCGGGCCGGGCGGGCCCCGGGGGCTGAGCGGCCGCGCCGCCTCCGCGCCCCGAGCCCCGCGCCATGGAGGGCGCTGAGCCCCGCGCGCGGCCCGAGCGCCTGGCCGAGGCCGAGGCGCGGGCGCCCGACGGCGGGCGCTTGGTGGAGGTGCAGCTGAGCGGCGGCGCCCCGTGGGGCTTCACCCTGAAGGGCGGCCGGGAGCACGGCGAGCCGCTGGTCATCACCAAGGTGAGGCGGCCGCGGGACCCTCACGGTGACAGCCCAGGGGTGGCCGCGGGGCGGGGAAAGTGATCGGGGGTGGGGGCGCCGCAGGGGCGGGCCGACCGTGCCCTCCAGCCGGGGGCGCTCGCCCGCTGGGTCACCTGCGGGGACCCGGGCACCGGGACGCGCGAAGGTGCGCGGTCCCGGCCGCTTGGCGGCGGCGCCCTGCCCCGCTGACTCCCAGCGCCGCTCAGGGTTTAAATGGCTCCTGTTCCGGGTGCCCTCCCCTCCCCTCCCCCTTCGAGAAGGGGCCCGGCTGGGTCCCCTGTCACTCCCGGCGTCGCCAGCGGCGGCCTGCAGCCGTGGGGCCGCCCAGGGGTTGGGGTGAACTGTCCCACGTGCCGGGGGCGGGGGTGGACAGAACCGTCCCCACCTGTGCTTGTCACCGAAGGCCTCTGGTTCTGCACCCCGTGAACCTGTACCCCTTGTCACTAGGAAACCCAGACTAGCAGCTGTCGCCAGCCCAGCTCGATTCCCATCAGCCCATCAATATTTACTGACTTTCAGCTTCCAGCCCTAGCCCCACGGCGCCCTGGGAGCTGCAGAAACGTACCGAAACTTTGAGGATCCTTTTTAAAAGTGGGATTTGAGCTCCAGTGTTTCTAATGTGTCTCATCAGGAATGTGTTTCCCGTTTTCTGTGTGTGTGTGTGTGTGTGTGTGTGGTGGGGCGAGGAGGCTGCTCTAGCACTTTGAATTCTCTTGTCTCAAAACAGAAATCGATCTTGAAATTTACCGGCTGAACTTGTATAGACCCGTGAAAACGCAAACAACCACCTATCACCCCGTTTTCCTCTGATTAAAAGTGTCAGTTTCCCTGGGGAGGGTTGGGTCCGGCCTTTCCTGGGGACAAAGTTCCCTTTAAAATGCAAAAAATTCTTGGCTACGCGGGTTTGAAGGTGACTTGCTGGGTTTTTTCCCTACTTTCCTGCTTCACCACAGCAGGAAGGTATCGTCACCCCCACCCCACCCGTGCTGAATTTTCAGAAATGGTGTAGCTTTGTTGTTCAGGTAGCAAATGGGACACCAAACTTCTCTGTTCTGTATTTTCTCTCATTTTTGTATTTACAAAACCAGAGACTCCGAGGGGAGGCTTGTTTGATGTGCCCTGAATTTACGTTCAGCTGGGGAAAGAGGCTGCCGTTGTTATAAATTTAATGTGTAACCCATTAACGAATTGGGTTCTTTGAAAAGATGGTGAGCAAAGTGTGTACAGCTTGCCCTGCGAGGGCACTTTCCTGCATATATGCATGTTAAAGCATATTCCCCTGTGCCTTTTTTTTTTTCTTTAAAGATTTTATTTATTTATTCATGAGAGACACACACAGAGGCAGAGACACAGGCAGAGGGTGAAGTAGGCTCCCCGCAGGTAGCCGGCTTGGGACTCGATCCCGGGACCACGCCCTCAACCGCTGAGCCAACCAGGCATCCCCCCTGTGCCTTTTTAATAAAGATTTTACAGGCCCTTTCTGATGGTAAAAGTTAAAAAGATCAGGTTAACTACTGACACCTGTATTTTTGTTTCATGTATTTCTTTTAAAAAAGAGGTACACAGGCAATTCAATGTATCTTTTTCAGACTTACCATTATAATTGGGGGAATAAGCTGTAACACATTAGTGAAGGTGAACTCTTGCCTTTTGGCCTTACATAGTCTAAGGGAGTTGGAAGGCACTTTAAACTCAGAAATTCAGTTGTTTAACCAGCAGCTGGAGAAGGGGATGGGGATCCCCAGAGCACCTCTTCCTTTCTACGCTCCTCCAGGTACGAAAAATAAAAACCCTGGTGTATTCTCAGTGGCCTCTTGTTCTCTCTCCAAGAGGCCCCATTCTAGACTAGGAGGTGGGCAGTAAAACCAATAAACACACACCAAGACCTTTGGGGGCACGTGGGGCCCTTTGCTCCCGATTTGGCCTGCTGGTTAGCTTTCACAGTACTTGCTAAGGTGTTTTTGTTTTCTTTTGGAAGTTTTTGTGGGTAGGCTAGTACCGTGTACTTGCTGGGCTTTTCCTGGTGGTGTTTCAGAATTTTGCAGGAATAAAAATGTTTGTGGTTCTTCTCTGAGAGGCTCATCCATCCCTCCCTTAAATTGCTACTTAGTTCTTATAGATGCTCCAATGTGACTGAAAATTGGTGGTTCCTTTGCTTAGGATAGAGTTTGGGACTCTAGAGTTTGGGATTCAGGAGAGTTTGGGACTTCCGTACTGAGTTTCCCTGTACACTTGTATGTACATGCAGAGGTGCATGCTCACACACGCGTGTATTATATATTTTCAATTACATGTTGCATGGTATTGGCGCTTATTTCACATGCTTGTCTTTTCTCTTGGATTAAGTCATCAATTATGCTTGCTTACACTCCAACAGCTGGTAATTAACTGTCACTTTATTAGAAAAGGATGAAGGAAAGTGTGTCCATTTAGAAGAATCACTTAAAGCAAGAGGAAGCTATTGTGATAGAGACTTGGGAAAATGGTTCCACCTGCAGAATTTGGATTAATCCAAGTTTTGACTCTTTCTCTCAGTAGCTACTGAAAAATCTGTGGGGCGTATTATAACAATTGTTATTTGGGGCCCAAATTATAATGTTCTAGTAGGATTTTTGCTTTTTTTTTTAAGATTTTATTTATTTATTCATGAGAGACACAGAGAGGGAGAGCCAGAGACACAGGCAGAGGGAGAAGCAGGCTCCATGCAGGGAGCCCAATGTAGGGACTCTATCCTGGGACTCCAGGATCACGCCCTGAGCTGAAGGCAGGCACTCGACCACTGAGCCACCCAGGCATCCCCCCCCCTTTTTTTTGGCTTTTAAAAAAATCTCATAGTTAAATATTTTACATGTAAGATCCCTAGGATATTATACAATTCATTTTTTTAAGATTTCATTTATTCATTTGAGACAGAGAGAGACAGAAGGAGAAGCAGAAACAGAAGCAGACTCCCCACCAAGCAGGGAGCCAGACAGGGGGGCTCGATCCCAAGACCCTGGTATCATGACCTGAGCCAAAGGTAGACGCTTCACTGGCTAAGCCACCCAGGTGCCCCTATACAACTCATTTTCTGTATAACAGAATATAATGTAGGGGAAGCTTGAGCAAGTATGAGATGACACACTCTTTTAATAATAATAGAAGTCTGATTTGAAAGCCTCATAGGAGTGCACATCTTAGAACTGGAAGGAGTGCCCAGAACAAGGCTAGTTCAATCCGTGATCTTCAGATCGAGAAATTTTATCAGCCCATTTTATAGATGCCCCAGCTAAGGCAAGGGGAAGTTAAATGGCATGCCCTGAGGTCCCAAACCTGTTAAGTCATGAGAAGGCCCCCAAGGACCAACTCTTGATCCTACATGTCCCCACTTCCTCTCTAGTCAGTTCCATCTGCTCTTGCCTGGAAACACTTGCAATGCCATATTAAATAACTTTGTCACATCAGATGAGGATTTCTCAACCCTGCCACTACTGGTATTTTGGTCTACATCATTTTCTGTTGTGGGGACTGTTCTATAGAATGTTCAGAAGCGTTCCCGGTCCCCACTCACTCTATGCCACTGGTACCCCCACTCCAGGTGTGATAACCAACAAAAGTCTGCAGACACTGTCAAATGTTACCTGGGGGCAGAATTGCCCTATTTAGATTAACAGCATCACTACTTTTGTTTTTAAAAGGATTTCAGCTTTTAAAGTTTAAGTTAACTTTTCTTTGTGAAGACATTGGCCTTTTGAAAGGTTTACTGGAGGGGCTGTTTTCTTCCCAAGTGCTGGCCCTGATAATAGGCTTTATTTACATAGTAAAACTCAAACAAATACTTGCTTCATCTGCATTTTTGTAGCTGGAGAAAGGAAGTGAAGCTGGAACTCCTGAGTGCTGTGTTTTATGAGCCTTCAGTGGGGCTACTGTGTAAGGACAGTCTTTTCTTTGGGTCTAGTTAGAAGTCAGAGGGATAGTTAACTTCCCAGGAGTGGCATTCTTGGAATTTGAAGTGCATGTGTAAAGTCCCACCAGACCTCTGCTGAAAGGTGACCACCAGATTTGTATCCACTCAGGCCATTTACGCTGGCTTATAGCTTGACATTTTACTAGGGCTACAAAATTCACAATCCTGCTGTTTTTCCATGCTCCTGAGAGGGATCAGAAGTGATGTCTGTGTCCTAAAAAACCACAAAGATTTTGATTTGTTAGTATTTCCAAGGCCACGTCCTGATGTGGGTTATCTGGGGACTTGTTCAAACAGATATGATGGATGTAGGTGGTCCCCTGTTTTTGTGTGTTCCTTTCTCCATTGATTCAGCAAATGTAAAATATCAGTGGGGGTGGGGGGAGCTGACTTCTAAAATGTCCCTGGAGGGCCTAGAATTTCAAATGGGTGGTTGAGGATTCTGTAGGGAGCATTCTGTGCACCAGCTGGGTGTCAGGAGGCCCCCTGCAGTCTCAGGAATGTTTCTTAAAGGGGGAAGGAATGAAGCTCTAGCCCCTCCTTTTCGCCGTTTGTTTGAGTCCCTCCCTGAAGAATCCCAGAGCCCTAGCCAAGGAGCACCAAAGAAGACGGTACTTTGGTCCTGGTGTGGTCCCAAGGGTGGCTCCTTTGGGAAGCCGCTGACTTTTGGGTTGCCTCTGGGGAGCACTGCCACGGTGGAGCAGGGCGGGAGAGCTGTGGCTTGGGATGCCCCCAGCCTGACTCATCTCTCTGGGGCTTCATATCTCATACCGTTAAAACGTTTCTCTGGATGTAAGACAAAGTCCTTCAATGTCCTTTCTAGTTTGAATACATACTGAGGGTGGGATGGGAGGGAATCAGGGCACATATTTTGGATGGAGGTCACACAGCCAGGTGGCAAATGTCCTATGTAAACCATTAGCCAGAGCTCCCGGTAGCAGAAGACTCAGGGCAAAAACAGACCGTGGGTGGTGGGTGGGGGTGGGGGACACTGAGCACCTGAGGTATGTTCTTTAGTGGTTTGAAAGGGACT